CCATACTTAACAAAAACACACATATGCAAACAGATACTGAAAGTAGAGGAAAATGACAACGAAGTCTCCGCGGTGGGGGAGTGTACTGAACTGCCAGTTACAATTAATCCATTACGAAATAAGTATTGGTATTCTTTTTTTTCATGAATGATGTTAAACTTCAATTATAAATTAAAGATCTGCTCTACAATATAATTAATTTTATGCTTTATGCCGTCATGAAAAACAATTTGACCATCTGGAAAAAATAATTCCTGTTGGACAAATTAGTTTCCCTATCAGTTTGACCACGTGGACGAAGGGAAATATATTTTAGAATCGCAATATTATTGCCATTACACTACCCTCTTTACTCAACTCCGCCGGAAGGGTTATATTTTCAAGTGTGTGTATTTCTCTGGCAAGCATTTGAAAAAAAAAAACTCCAAATCCGTTTCCAAATCCATCAACACTAGGTATATTATAATTATTAAACAATAAAGTGGCAAATTTTTGGAGTCAAAATAATATATTTATGATAATTATATGTTTCCAATAATAATGTATTTTCTTCAAAATCTATAGAGTGGGGTATCAAAATAAATGTTATACAAACATATAAACAACTGATATATTTAAATGTAAATCGGAATGAGAAAAGCTAAAAAAGATTTAAAATATCATTAAGTTTGTTTGAGAAATATCATTAAGGTTAAAAAAACAACTTCCGCATTAGGAATATATCATGTGTCGCGGGGGACTTTACAAACAAACATGAAACGGACACAAAGAACACCTAGACTCAGAACAACAATTTGTGGATCACACAAACTGTCGTCCCATGTGGGAATCAGACCCACAACACTCAGCGTGGTAGTGAGCGGCGTGGCGAACGCTTAAACCACTACGCCATCCGTGCAGTCAATTTAAGTAGACGCAGCCGGATTTTTAAATGTGTCTCATAGCAAAGGACTTCGGCTGTTTTTTTTTGCAATTAGCAGCCATCCTTGACGTCAACGCCTATAGACACAATCCGCCTTTTTTTATCAACCACCGTCATGTTGGTAAGATCTAGTAGGAGTGACATTAAAAAATAAAGTACTGCCAAAAGCTCTTCAGCATTCCTCCTCGGCATCCAATCATTAACTATCGAAATTTAACTTAAAAAGTCTCAAGGCCTACGAAATTCTTTAAATAATAGACAAAATCGATCTTATGACTCATTCATAAGATTCATAACCTATTGAAAAAAATTGAAGCCAGCTGGAAAACTTAACATCACGATGAGAATTATATTCTATTGTGTTCTGTTAAGGTTGAAAGTTGATTCATGCGTCAACAATTTTAATTGTATTCTATTTATTCGGGAGTGATAGTATTAATAATGTATAGAAATAAGTATTCTTAGAAACAGTCTCGTAAATGTACTTGTTCGTTATATTGCTACTGTCGAAGTGAGTTCGTTGGTTTAATCTGACCCCAAGTGTCTATACATACCTCATGATCGTAGAATAATGTCGGTTTTGATAAAAATACAAAATTCAGTTTTTACCATATTTGTCTAAATATTATTAGTACATTCAAGAAACAATTACATGTATTTTAGATTCTTAATTAATCAGTGCTTTTTTTAAAGGTTTACTAGCAACCGAAATAGTATTATTCCCGTTAACTAGTATTCCCGTTAACCCCTCCCGCAAAGGCAAATTGCTTGTGTTAGGAGTGGGTTCAGGCCGGTAGTGTACTGGTCAGGATTGGAACCGACTACCTCTTGATCGCAAGTCCAACGCCTTAACCACTAGGCTACCGCCGTGTTTGTTTGATAGGCGCTGAAAGTAAAATGAAGCATGTGATTTTTCTATAAAATTGTGGAATTATTGGTTGTTATTTTTATTGCATTTGAGCCAACATTCAAGCCTTTTTTTCCACTTGTATACCTATTTTCATTTTACATATTTAGAATGAAAAAAGTTACTAACATAATTATTTGAAATGGTTTCCCTGTAAAGTTCAATAAATGTCAAATCCGACTCTATTATACGACTATGACGATATCAGCCACTGTAGCATAAAAATATTTTGAAATCAGGGATATCAGCCGTTCATTGACAATCTTGTAAAACTATCGTAACTAATATATTAAATATGACAGTGTTTGTTTGTTACGCTGTCCTGGGTACAGATATGAACATAGGATAGATTACTAAGGTATGTAATGCGAATGAAGTTATATAAAAAATAGAAAAGAAAACGAAAGGAAAAACAGAAATATATGTATTGTCTCCACTGAGAGCGAGGCTTATGAAGATTTGGTCCATCTGTAGGTACTCATAACTTGTTAATTTTTTATAAAAACCTGCACAGGGACTTATGGACAGCATCTGCTGTCGCCTAAATTATATTTAAAAGAAATAAAAACTGGAATGCAATCCATCACGGTAAGTGTATCTTTAAAAGCAAATGAATGTTACTTAGACTTGTAGAACGCACTCTTGTAGACTTGTAGAACACACTAGTTACTCAACACAAATTGCACCCAAATTAACTTAACACATTTATAAAGCATTCCCCATTCCTAGGAATAGTCAGTACCAAAGATAGGTATGCGATCCTGAAATATTCAAACTTTTGTTTCATCATCAATAATCTGTTGTTGTAACAATCTGTATTCTTAATCCGTCACTACTAAGGACGAATAATAATAATAAATTTATTTTCACAGATACTACAAAACACTTAACACATTTACATTTTTTATCATGTAGTATGTTTTCTTTGATTCAAATGTACTGATGCTGCTCCCTGCAGTTTGGGGACCAGTGTTCAGTCCTATGAAAGATGCAATTTAATGAAGTTACTCCAATTCAATTTAATTTCAATAAAATTAAATTAACAATCAAAATCAAACCATTCAGATTGAATCAAATTATCAATTAAAATAAATAAATAAAGTCAGCATTAAGTAATTAAATTGATTAATAAGAATTAAATTACATCACGACCAAAACCATAGCAAAAACAAATCAGATAAACCATAAAAGAAAGCGAACGAAAGAAGAGCATTACCAATAACCATTACATTTAGATTAAGTAAATGTAAATCACAAACAAATCAATTTTAAATTATCTCTTCACTTACATAAGGAAAAAAGTAATAAAAATGTAGTGAGGGTATCTCAAAACATAAAGCGTAACATAAGCGTTTGTTTAATCGTCGTTATTAGTAAAACAAGGATCGAGCGTGCACAGCAATCTATTACCACATTTTTTAACTTTCAACAACAAATATTTAACAACATTTTAATATAAGATATAGTTTTTAGCAATATGTTATTATTACATATTCTCTAGTATATGAAAACGAGTTTTGCTAATTATTTTAGTAAATTAAGTTTAACATTTAGTAATACATTGATTGATATTTAGCTTTTTTTAAGTATTTGCATGGTTTTTAATACACATACGAGTATATACACACACGTAAATATATAATTACATCGCTCCACATATATACAACAGTATACCCATACATATACCATACATTAATACAAAACATAAACGCAAGTCCTTTAATTGTTCTGAGGAAATGAGGATGTGTTTATCGTCTTGGGCACTTCGGATGAAAATGTTCCCGTTTGAGGACCAGCTGAATTTATATCCATTTTCCTTAGCGAATATCCGTACTAAATTAAATATACCTTTCCTCCTACTGCTTCCATCCTTACATAACTTTTCCTTTACAATCAATGAGCTCATCTATAAGTCCCCTTTTATTTATCAATGCGGAAACCCCCTGGGATAATAACCCACCAGACGGCCGGTGGACTGGTTATGTCGGACTCGAATCGATTAATAACCGCACGCGGTCTTGGGTACCAGTAGCCCGGGAACCAGGTGTAACCTAGATTGGTAATCCGCGGACCCCAGGCTATCCGCGGCTTCTAAATGACCTCGTGTGTAGTAACCACAATGTTCCCTTCTTATTCCCTATATTTAATTCCCCTTGTGTTATTACGTGAGTGGATCCAATTTTCGTTGTATAAAATTTCGTGTGAACAAAATATTACAAACGAAATGCATAGAATATTAGTAGTAGTGTAGTATAGTAACTATCTTGTCTCGTGATGGTTACATGCATTAAATAATTAAAAAAAATAGTTTAGTAGGAATTACGTATAAAAAGAACCATTCACAAAAAAATGGCTGTATTGGATATATTATGAATTTGTATTTGTCTTCTTGTATTTGTTTTTACCTTTATAATATACGTCTACTTTGACCAATACCGACTAATGTCCTAATCTCCTATCCGAGTGGCGACGGATTAAGAAGACGGAGTGTCACCTACTCTATTAATTTCGTGCGTGTCATAAGAAGAACTGCAAAGAGAAGGAAAACTTGAAACCAATCCTATACTAACCCGTCAGGCCAGCGTGGTATAATAGGCCAGAACCTCCTTTCTAAGGAGAGGCCTATGTCCAGCAGTGGACTAATATACGTCTACTTTGACTGATACCGATTAATCTTCATAGATGAGTAAGTATAACGGCTTTTCTCCCGAGACGAAAGTTTATTACGTCTAGCAAAAAAAAAACAACCAATTTAAAAAGGACTTCAATTTGTGCGCACTTTTCAAGACCCTTTTTGCCTCGCGCAACCAATCTGTGGAACAAGTGTTATCGTCTGCGGTATTTCTGGACCGATATGAACTTCAAATCTTCAAGAAGAGAGCGTACTCCTTCCTAAAAGGCCCGCAACGCGTTTGTGACTCCTGAGTTGCAGGCTTTCCATCAACTGACCCGTCTGCTCGTCTAAAAAAAGTCTCTCACAAGAAGAAACTCCAAGACACTAATAATCTTAGGAATTAACATCTAGATCTAAAAAAACTTTGAATTCTGAGCCAAATTCTAAAAGAATGTTACATTGTGTTCAACATCACGCTACGTCTGTAAGGAACAGAGCAGTGCCTATTTAAAAGGGTTAAAGTTAATGGCTAATAATTGTATACTCTTTCAACAGACATGCTAGACACCGGCACGTTATCCAGCAAGTCGGTGACGGAGGTACTGATGTTGGAGATGAAACTGGCGCCAACAGCTAAGACCTACCTTGTTTCGGGGTACCCTCGCTCCATGCGGGACGTCACCGAGTACTCGGACAAGGTAAGCTGATATAATGACGTCGACAGTGATGTATTCTAAGCAATTGTTTGTTTGACAACTTAATAGTATTATGAGGATATTTTTGGTGTACTCGGGCACTGTTTTTTTGTAAATGTGAAAAGCCCCTTGCCGCAACGCAGTATTACCTACTACATATCACTAGGTTAAAAGACAGCCGTCAAAGTAACGTCGTAGTATATTTTCAGTTGTTAGAAGTTGTAGTTGTTTCATATTATATTTAAGTAATTTATATGCGTTTCTATTATTCCAATAATATGGATGTAATATAAATATTTATGTTATACAGAAATATTATTTAATGATACACTGTGAGCTTACACGAACTTTTTGGAAAATAAACGTAAAGTGTAGTTGCGTTTCGATAGATTAGCTTTACTCCAATTATTTGATTGTTATCAATGAAAAACAAAATTGAAACTTTTTAAACACAAATATCAATTATTTTTAATAGCAACTATTTCAGTTAAACAAACAACGTCGGCTATAACTTTTTATTATCAATATCAATAATATTTTTGTGTAATACATTGCGAATTCAATCTTCGATCGGCTTACATGGCTTACTGTACAACATAATAGGTATCTATAGAAAGCAAAGTTACATACGCCAGTGTGTCTTCGTTTACAATCTGTAAGGTCCCAGGGTCGAAAGAAATATGGTAGTTTAATAGAATCAAAGGCTTAAAGAGAGTAGATATTGCAAGGAGGAAGTCGTTTTTAGAGTTTCATACCAAAAAGGTGCCAATGAGCCTATTGCAAAGTGATAAAAGATAAATTAATTCAAAATGAAACCAACACTCGAAAATGAAACATACATTATCTTGTGCATTTTTATCTACTAAATTTAATGATGATCAAAAACAACCTTTCAAATTCAATACATTTATTTTAATGAAAATTGCTCAACAATTATCAAAATCGTTAATTTAGAATGATTTATAACCATAGATCAACACAGAGTCACCGCAACAATAGGATACTTTGTCGAATATTAAGGTGAGTAATATTTTCGATTAATGACTAACGCCGCCCACGGAGTTGCAGGGGGCAACTCAAGAATCATAAATGCGTTGCTAGCCTTTGCCCCCAACCACTCAGAATTAGAAGGTGGGGGGAATATATCAGTCACTCATTCGTTGAAATGCAACGAAATAATTACTCATAACCTGTTTTGTGGAGCTATCAATCCAGTAGAGCGGACTATCTGCGCCAAAGCATGGCCCTCTTTTGGTTTTTCTTTCGATATGTGATGAACACAATCATTTGTTTTGTTTCTAGATGTAATTTATCTATCCTCATCATCATCAACAGCTTTTAAATTGTCTACTGATGGAATTATACTACGCTGACCAGACGGGTGGTATAGGGTTTGTTTCGAGTTTTCCTTCCCTTTGCAGTGCTGTTGTCCGGAGTAGTTTGCTCAATTAGTCAGCTCTTTCAACACCCACGGGATAAATAGGGTGTCACTCCGTCACCATACGGCAATATTTATAAATATATAAAGACCTATAATATGTATGTATTTAGAAATATATAAGCGTGTTTATCACCAATCTGGTTACCATAGCACAGGCTCTGCCTAGTTTGGGATCATTGCCCCGAGTGGGATGTGTAAAATGATTATGTAATCCAACATATAACCTGTATACCATTTAATCAAATTAAGGAGGTCTACATCTACTTGTATATGACATACTCTTTAATGGATTTGTATGTAAATATACAGTTAAATGAAGACAAATTTGTGCTCTATCACCTTGACGAAATTGGGTGAGGATATGGCGTCGGTCAATGAGAAATGATACCAAAAATTCGTATGTGTGTCAAGGACAATATATAACAATTTACAAGACGAGTTATATACACTGTTTAATTTTTATAATTCAATGTTTTCTTGGGAAATATCAATCAATTCAATTCAAAAGTCATAATCCTGTCAAACTAAGTTAGAGTCGACTTTAAGTGTACTACTTCGATTTTTTACGTGGACCGACTGCCATCAGAACGCCGCATCTCAAGTACTAAGCGATATCGGAGTTCTGTGGATAGACTATTGTCGGACTGCCCTTAACGATTGCCACAGATATTCGTGTAACAATCGGGACCGAAGGCTTACCGTGCTGTTCGAGGCACGGTAAGAGTCTCAATGTATTTAGAATGGTTACTCGTCCATAAACTGTTTGATTAGTTAATTTAGCAATGTGCGAACCTACACGATTACCACTTAATACGAGCTCCTGAGGAGCTATGATGACATAGACAGATATGCTTTGGCGTTTAAAAGCTCAAAATAGTTACAAGTTTAACTTACCAGTTAGGCTATTGATATCTGATGCTTTTACTGCAACGGCGGCGGTGACTTAAAGTTTATTTATATTTAATAATGAAAGTGTTTAAAGTATCCCCAACGGTGAAGAGCTGTGAGCTTTAGTGTCCGATACTAATTTAATAGCGTTGTCGTACAATAGAACATGTTCGCGGTGAAAGGTCAGAGACACCCTATCGCAAATAGTAGGGTGAATGAATAGCAGGTGGAATTTAATGTATAAAGTAGTTTGTGTGAAGGGTTGAATTCATTGATGATTAATTCTGCAGTTATAGTAGGGAAAAAATTGTGAGAAATAATGTAATAAGTTTTGCAATATGGCGGTGCTTGTTAGGCGCGATAATCTGGAAAATTATGTTACAGCTGTTAGCAATGTGATTTTGGACGGTTTTTGGTTGACTGAAATACGTTAGAACGCATGCATTTGGACAAAATTAGTAACAGGGATGTCAGATAGTCCTTCTCCTTTTCTTCTCAGCCGAGGACGTCCACTTCTGGACATAGGCCTCTCATAAGGTTGGCCACAACAAACGGTCCTGTGCTGCCCGCATCCAGTGATTATAGCCCAAAATAGTGCAGAATCCACTTCTTTTCACCTGAAAATGATTAACAAAGTAGATGCTAACGTGACCGCCGGGAAAAGCTGTATATTAATTATATTGACGTGAATTAACTCGATATAGACATTACATACATTTGATTTGCCTGACGTTTTGACCAGATGGCACCACAACCAGTATCCCATCTAATGCCTATTAATTAAGTAACCGCATTAATTTCAGTTCAAATAATTTTCATTCCTATAGAGCACTAGCTGACCAGCGTAACTGCGTTTGCGTCTCTCAAAAGGAATTTACTTTACCCGTTTTTGCAAAAATTTTACACGCTTTATATTAGCTTCACTTGTATGTTTGTATGTTTGTTTGTAACCAACTCCTTTGGGCGTGATTTTTTCATTGATGTTCGGTTCCTATTGGTCGTAGCGTGATGCTATATTATAGCCTTTCTCAATGAATGGGCTATCCAACAATATAGATGTTTTCAATTTTTAAGACTTCATGTATGTAAAGAAAAAGTAAAGCAAAAGCAAGCAGACTGCAGTGGTTTAAGCGGTCATCTCGCCACTTCCTACTGCGCTGAGTGTTGTGGGTTCGATCCACACATGGGACAACACTTTGTGTGATGCACCAAATTGTTGTTCTGAGTCTGGGTGATCTTTATATCCATCTCATGTATGTCTGTATAGTCCCCCACGACACAGGATATATTTCTAGTGTAAGTATTTCTAGAGAAAATAATTAATTCAACCTGTAGTTCCTGAGATTAGTGCACCAAGAACGCATGCATTTGGCAAACGAAAACAAGCTCTTCAGCTGCATAATATTAGGATAGATTAAAAGAAATCCTATAATATCGAAATTCTGGCTAATGAACGGTAGTCTCTTTAGTTGTCTGCTTGTTTCTGAATTCATTTAAAAACTAGCTCAGAACAGTAACTCTTCGTCAAGGAATATATTTTTCCAGAATTATTAGGTAAACGGGGAGAAAGCTAATTTGCTGTCTTGCTCCTCTCTGCTGTGACCGGTAATTAACAGAAATAGTGACTCTACTGGATAATTTCGTCACCAAGTAAAAGGAATCAAGGTAAACAGATTATGAAATTTAAAGCTTTTGCAAGTGCACCTACGAGTACATCGGAGATCGAAGAGTTTTCTCTCATAGCTTTCATAAAGAATTTTTCTATACTCTTTTCATCATCATCAACAGCCTTTAAAAGTCCACTGCTGGACATAGGCCTCTCCTTAGAAGGGAGATTTTGGCCTATAGTATGGTATAGGGTTTGTGTCAAGTTTTCCTTCTTTTTTGCAGTGCTGGTGTCCTGCGTTGTTTTGCGCCCTTAGTCGGCTTTTACGACACCCACGAGATGAATTGGGGTAGTGACATTCCGTATTCTTAACACGTCACTACATGGATCTCTTTTACGCTCTAGATACTCGTAATATTTATCGTCTATCGCTATTTGTCAAAAATCAAAACTTTAATAAGTCAAATTCATTTATGCCTTGTATTTTGCCTTTGCAAGGCTCAATTTGGATCACTGTCTAGACTTAATATGTAATCTACCTCCTTTTTTTTTTTTTTTTTTTTTTTTTTTTTTCCCGTGAGGAAATCCCCTCGGATACCACCTGTCAGTGGCATGTCGGACTCGAACCGACTAAAACCGCACGCCGTCGCCGGGTACTAATAGCCGGGGAACCAGGTATACCCTAGAAAGGAAGTCCCTGGTGCCCCGACATACCTCGGGTCATCTACAGACGAGTAGACGACCCCCCCCCCCCCCCCCGTGTGGGAACCCCATGTTCCCTGCTCTCCCTGGAAGCGAGCGCGCTTCGCAACGCGCTCGCCGCCAAACGCGCTCGCCGCCACAACGCGCTCGCCGCCATGTATCTACCTCCTAAAGTTTCCTGTAACATGTAATGGCAGTAATCTGTAAGCATGCCTATTAGAAATAAATAAATAAATATTCATAGATCCAGATATGATTGGTTATTGACTAATCGCTGAAGGCTCAACTCAAAGTATCAATTCCGGGTATATTTTTCGGAGTCAACGACCGAATGCTTGAAGTTCAATACGAGAATGACGTTGCGCTTTGTGGTGAGTCATTTGGAAACCAGTAATAGGCAATACTGTAGGGTTTATGACTGTAATATAAACTCCATGGACAGATATAATGGACTTGTGTACTATCCCTGTCATTTACTACTACGATCTGCAATTAGAGGTATATAAATGATATTCGATCCGCCATTTAATTTATTCTTTTTTTTTTAAATGCGATAGTTAACTGTCAAGCTAAATTATTTTTTTATTGAAGTCATCAAATCGTTAATTTTAATGTTTTACAATCTACATATATAAAAAGTTAATTAGGTTTGTGTACGCTTTAAAAACTCAAAAAGTTCTGGATCGATTGAGGTCATATTTTGACACGATATACTAACGGCTACAAAGATGGCTTTTATCTATTTTTTGCGTCACTTTTGTGCTTCATTTTTCATAAATGCAACCACAATGTGCCACAGTGGTGGTGGGGTACAGCTGGTCTATATCTATACAAAAAAATAACATTGAAGTGTCTGTTTGTAATATTAAAATAACCGCTTTTTACTAAATGCATATGTATGTTTACACGGTACATATGCTAAAATAACATTTTTTACAATTTTTGTCTGTCTGTCTGTCCGTCTGTTTGTTCCGGGTAATCTCTGGAACGGCTGGACCGATTTCGACGGGACTTTCACTGGCAGATAGCTGATGACATAAGGAGTAACTTAGGCTACTTTTTTTAGACTAACTTCGCCACGCAGCGTTGCCCACGGTTATAACAACAAACGCGGGTAACACCGCGGGTCTCAGCTAGTTAGTAATGAAATAGAGCCCGATTATGTTTGTAAGTATAAACTTGCAAATAATAAGAAATCTTATTTAGTTTTATAAACTTTATTTCACGAGGATGTTTAAATATTATATTTTACCTACAGCCACCTCCCCTTTTAAAAGTTAAGTAGGTTACAAGTGTCTCTTTCTATACATAAGTACACCGCAGACTATCCTATATTAAATTTTACAATATGCGTCTGGAATTTTGACAACAGCAATACCTAAATCTTTATAAAATGTATGTATTACATTACATAAATATTAATAGGTGAAAAAATATGTTTGCATCTCTTGTTAGGGCGCTCTGAAGGATACCATATTTGGAGTGAAGTATATACATATATAAATATGTCCGTATTATATACATGTATAATACGGACATATTTATAAATTTATTTTAAATATCTAATCTACCTAATAAATCATTGAACGTAAAAAAAAATTGCAGTGTTTTTTGTCGTTAGTATCCGTGGCGTGGTTCCGCCCGCGTCTATTTCGGTTATGGCGGCAAAAAGTTCCTATGTCCTTCCTCAAGAATCAAAGTATCTCCTTGCCAAATTTCATTATAATCAGTTCAGCGGTTTAGCCGTGAAAGCGTAACAGAAAGACTGAGTTACTTTCGCAATTAAATTATTAGTAAGATTTGTATTTATTTTATTTAAAACTAAATGCATATGTTATACAAAAGCGGACTTATGCCATGGGGTATTCTCTCCCAGTCAGGTGATGCCGAAATATGATCCGGTAGGTGCAAAAATAAAATATTAAATTTTACATAGTTCATAAAATTTGTTTTTAAGATAAAAAAATAACATTAAATATAACTAACATACATAAATTCACTGCTACATATATCTCCATCAGCCTTGGTCACTTGATGTCCTTGGCTTATTGATATCTCCTTCCACAGGACGGATTTACGAGTATAAATAAAATAAAAAATCCAGCCAGTACGAGGTCATGCATGATTGGATTTCACAACTTTATTTATTTACCATGCAATATAAATACACGTAATAAACATCTAATAGCTGATGAAGAAAACTTAAAACAATTTTAGTTAGGGAAATAAATTGAATTTGACGCTAATTAAAACACACCTTTATTCTATCTGGACTCCATCTGCAAGTTAAATAACCTTCGCTGCTCCACAAGCTTTCAGACATCACCTTACACTCTCTCAACTCTTTGCAATGCAATACCCTTTTTTTTTCCGTGCGGAAATCCCCTTGGATACCACCTGTCGGTGGCATGTCGGACTTGAACCGACTAAAACCGCACGCCGTCTCGGGTACTAATAGCCGGGGAACCAGGTATACCCTGGTGCCCCGACATACCTCGGGTCATCTACAGACGAGTAGACGACCCCCCCCCCCCCCCCGTGTGGGAACCCCATGTTCCCTGTGCTCCCTGGAAGCGAGCGCGCTTCGCAACGCGCTCGCCGCCTCCCCGGCCTGCTTCTGCCAGGGTGACAGATGGCCTCATCTGTCACCCAGGCCTGCGCTGCTCGTTCTGCGACCTCCGGCGCCTGAGTCGCCTGCGGTACCTAGCCCGTTCCCGGGCCTGGCGGACCGGGAGAGTTCTGAACCTCTCCCGGTCCCGCTCCGCCGTCTCCTTTGCGAGCATAACTTGCTCGCAGAAGGAGACGGCAAGCAATGCAATACCCTAAATAAAATTGGGGAAATGGCCCATTAATAAAATACACAATATAATATTTATTTATTTGTCAAAGATGTTTACAAGTGTTGTGTTTTATGAAGTCTTTATTCATTTGAATCACTACTAATCATTTCCCTGAATATTGACCGTCGCGTCGATTTATTTACAAATGCTCTATCATATGTCAACGAATACGAAGAACGGTACAAGGTTGTATTTTAATTTGTACGGTGCCATTGCCTTTAACGTAATTTTTATTGTTATTGAGTAGAAACAAATGTCATTACAAATTTTATTTATATACAAATTTTTTACTTGTAAAAAAACTTCGTAAGAAAGCCTCTCATGCCTACCCAAGTTTTCTAGCTATAAATATATATTTATTAATACATGAATACTTGCGTATTAAGACGCCTAAAAATATATATTATTCTGTTTTTCTTCTAGATTCAAACAATAAATGGTGTCATCCTGGTGAGCTGGCGACAGCGCGTTCTGGAGCGACAGATAGACTTCGGCGCGAGGCTCGGCCACGTGGTGCTCAGCCTCGCCAAGATGGAGCTCAAGAATTTCTACAAGAATGTCATGCCTGTCGCCGACTACTTCGATCAAACTAACATGCTTATAGCGGTAAGTAGACCAATTGAATCTTGAATACATGTAAAATTATTTGCTCTGACCGATTTATCAACGCAGAGCCTAAAACACGGGGGCTGTAATCTTCAAAATTTGATAGTATATGCTTTTTATGTTTAAAATACCCACTAACAATGGATATTTGGAAGTTTCATCCCTAAGGGATGAACGGTTGTTTGGAAGTTCGTCATTTTCAAAGTTAGAAACATGAAGTAAGATATAATCACATAGCTAGTGTGTACATACTTTTCTTAAGAGTGTCCCGTCATAAGAACTCGTTCAAAGTATTCTCTATCCGCTTGGGGTCTGGGTTGCGTACGCTAAATATGGTAAACATCTTGAAGTTTCACAATTACTCCTGGCATCATTGACCGCGAGTGTAGCTTAACAAGATCCAGAATTGGATTTACTGTATTTCCAACTTCTCCAATTTCCTTTTGATTAATTTCGTTGCGGGATCCAAGACAGTTTAATTTCTTCCTGGGACTTCCCGAGTGTCATAACTCGGTGTGTTCATACAGTGGTGGGCGTGTGGGTGGGATTAGTCTAGATTATATAAATATATATATATATATATATATATATATATATATATATATATATATATATATATATATATATATATATATATATATATATATATATATATATATATATATATATATATATATATATATATATATATATATATATATATTTGTGTAAAGAGCAGAATCATTTGTTCTGTGTCTGGGTGTAAGTTATCTATAATATGTATGTATTTAGAAATATATAAGTATCTTTATCAGCGGTTTGGTTACCATAGCACAGGTTCTGCCTAGTTTGAGATCAGACGGCCGTGTGTGAGATGTGCCAAATTATTGTTATTTCTATTTATATTTTTAAATGGAATTTCGCACTATAACAACGCTGGTGTGCGTGCAAATCGAGCGACTACAGATAGCGATAGCGAGAAGGGATTAAGTAGCCAATTTTAAATACTATTTTGGACTGCACGAATGGCGTAGTGGTTTAAGCGGTCTCCACTCCGCTTTTTACTACGCCGAGTGTTGTAGGATCAAACCCCATATAGGGACAACACATTGTGGGATCCACAAATTGTAGTTCTGAGTCTGGGTGTTCTTTGTGTCCGTTTCATGTATGGTTGTAAAATCCCCCGCGACACAGGATATATTCCTAATGCGAGAGTTGTCTTTAAAAAAAATCGATGCTTTTAAGATTTATATACCGAGGTGTTAGTAATCTTATAGTGTTTGTATATTACTGTGTTTATAGAGTGTAGCACAGTGCTTCTTTAATTAACCAAGCCAATACTTACCACTAAAACTGTTAGTTCTTAAAATAATGTTTTAGTGCTTTAAAAACTATGATCGCTCGCTAAAGTCCGTCGTTAACGTGTTCAAAAAATAATTAATTCTATTTCAAAACGTGATTTTGAAAGACTATATTAGTTATAAAATTAAAGAAATATGTACAAGGGCGAGTCTGACTCGCTCACAGCAGGTTTCGTACAAATTTGCGTGTAAATATCTCGTCCATTTAGGGAATCGATTCTCGTTGATTTTCGACCGGTTTTAGAGAATGATGTGTGATAGAGAAACTCTACCGTATTTTAAATATTCTGCCACGCACAAAGATAATATTTGGTTGAACACAATATATAAGTACCTAAGTCAAAAATGTTAGGTGTGATTGCCTAGATTATAGATTTCGCCAGCTCACCAGCTCACCATTTATTGTTTGAATCTAGAAGAAATTTTTATTACTTCGGGGATGAGCACAAGACATGTATTTGTATTTTTGCACTTATATAAGATATGTATCTATACCAACCCGTTTGGCCAGCGTGGTGTAGTAGGCCAAAACCTCATTTCTAAGAAGAGGCCTATGTTCAGCAGTGGACTAGTAAAGGCTGTTGATGATGATGATAAGATATGTGTATCATTTGTTTGCGATCCAAAATATCCATACTAATACGCGAAAGTGTGCCTGTCTGTCTGTTACCTCTTCACGCTTAAACAGCTAAACCGATTCAGGTTGGTTTCAAGTATTCCTTCTATGTATAGAGCTGTTGTCATGCGTAGTTTGCTCCTTTAGTCGACTCTTACGACACCCATAGGGTGGTGACACTCCATATTTTTAATTCGTCACCACACGGAATCTCTTCACATTCTGCTATTGCCTGACTTAAAAAAAGTACGATGTGGTGAAGAACTTATTTTGCTTACTAACTAATACACTATACTTTAAATTTAAATAATTCAGCTGTATTTTAGAATCATTACATAACATACAAAACATTTAATATGAGTTATAAATAACATAAGGCGGTCTTCTACTCCAAGATAAAGCGATAATAATCATTATCTGAGATACTTTTGGCACGTTTCTAGGTCGTGTGATGCATCCATACTTTCTGCTGTTAAAAGATTACCTTTGATAACTGAAATGATATTTCGACTAAACAAATATCGGCCCATTAGCTCAGTTGGTTAGAGCGTCGTGCTAATAACGCGAAGGTCGCGGGTTCGATCCCCTCATGGGCCACGTTCTTTTTGCTGTTTGATATTTTTGTTTTTAGTTTAAATTACAAATAACTAAAAAGCTGAAGAAGTACTTGTACTTCATAAATATTGTAGTTTTAATTTTAAGAAGAAAAAAGCCGATTGAAGTTAAAACAAAGAGCGTCGCGTCTTTAAAAATGATTTCCCTTTCTACAGAGCCCTTTTTAAAAATGTACAATGGTACGGAACAGTATCTTATTATGTTATATATTATCTATCTATGTTAATTACAAATTAATTGTGCAATTAACAGTGCTAAATAAAAAAATAAACCTCGAAGGATGAATGAAGAGAGGAAGAACATGTTTTATTTAATACAATTTAAAACGTAAATGAAGGCGCATACTTATTTAAAACCCTAGCCCCATCCCTATGAATAGGGATGGTGCCACTCTGTATTCTTAATCCGTCACCACACGGAAAGCTTGGTATAATAAGTCAAAACCTCCTTTCTAAGGAGAGGCCTATGTTTAGAAGTGGACTATTGAAGGCTGTGGATTTGTGTGATAAATATTATTTTTAGGCCGAAGCATGGCTCTACCATTATTGTTCTTGTTTACCGTCTTTCTGTACCCTCTGCTAATGTGAGTTAAAATTACCTCATTATACCATAACCCTAAAACAGTAAAGATTCTTTAAAAAAAAGAAGTGTTCCAGCTTCCGTTGCCTATGGTTCACCACAGTATTCTCCATCCAAGCATCAATTTTGAATATATTGCCGATGCTTACTGTACGATGTTATTCCTATTTTATTTATAAATAGTTTTATTTTCAACCTAACTAAGCATATAGTATTAAACTCTATAACACGGATAAGTTTAAAATAAATATATGTTTAAGTATATTGTCCGTGTAGTGACGGATTAAGAACACTTAAAGTCGCTACTCCAATGCATCCCGTGGGTGTCGTAAGAGCCGACTAAGGGCGAAAAACAACGCAGGACACCAGCACTGCAAAAAGAAGGAAAACTTGACACAAACCCTATACCAACCCGTCTGGCCAGCGTGGTATAGTAGTCCAAAACCTCCTTTCTAAGAAGAGGCCTATGTCCAGAAGTGGACTATTAAAGGATGTTGATGTGATGATGAAGTATGGATACATTTAGAATTACTGGAAATGCCCGGTTGACATCTGTAGGCTTGGACGTTTTTTGGGACGAATTGGGACTAAAATTACAGTCGACAAAATGTAGGCTTTTAATTCAACCTAGTTTACTCCTTCGGAGATAAAAAAAAGTGGGTGTATGCATGTATGTATGTAACACAGATAACATGTAAATATTTGCATAGCATGAGTCCAACTTGTGACCTTCGACGTAACAGTCGAATGTCCATCGGCGCCGTATGTACATATATATCCACAAATAATTTATTTATTTAGGAAGACATAACATGTAGTTATTTATAATTTAACTTCTAGAAAGTACTGACCAAGGTAATTACAATATCCTTCCTTTTATATACAAAATTTGTAGTGTAGTATTACCATCGCAAAATATAGTAGCATTGTGGGCTTGGGTTGTAGACTAGTGATTTTCTCATTAGTGATGCAAATCGTGCCTCTATAATACCTGTCATTTTGTTGTAATGGCTAGCCGGCTAATGACAAGTTAGGTATACGTAAGCAGGTAAATAACTTATGAGCTTTAAGTTAAAATTAAGCTTTTATAGTTTCTGTGAACAATCTAGAAACTTTTATTATATCCGTGCATATTTAGATGAAGACAATTCTTTGAGCGAATATGGAGCTTTTCATTTTTGGAATTCTTAATGTATATCTTCTATATTTATAAAAATGTAAAGTTAATTTGTGTACGCTTCCAGAACTCATAAAGTTATGCACCGATTGATCTCTAATTTTGACACGATACATAACCATGTGCCATAGCGAAGCGTGTCAGGGTACATCTAGTATTATATAGGAGTTCGAAGAGCGAAATTTTTAAACAATATGTGCTATAAACTTGAAAATTATGTAAAGTAAAAACGTCCATATGAAACACTAGGGAAATTGCTGGCAGCGGATGGATGCAGATTGTCCAAGACCGGGATGGTAGGCGCTCTTTGGGGGAAGCCTTCGTTTAGCAGTGGACGGCAACAGGCTGATGATAAAACATTAGGGTGTATAGTAAATATTTTGAACGGTCATTACACAACCGTTTATACATGACAGATCAAGTTATACTGGTCAATAAACGAGACATTGAAAACGGCCGAAGTTTGTCAATTTTTATTACAGCTCTTTAGTTACCAATCCTGATTCGTTACCAAGTTTTGATGCGAGCCGAAACCTTGTTTGTTAGTCTATTTCATTGAATTTCTGCGTCATACGTACGTCTAGAGTTTTTCACGAAAAAAGTTTCAATAAAATTAAACGAAGGCGAAATAACAGACTCTTAATACGATAGACTCTTAATAATAAGACGAAAA